GAGAGAGAGAGAGAGAGAGAGAGAGAGAGAGAGAGAGAGAGAGAGAGAGAGAGAGAGAGAGAGAGAAATTCTCCTGAGTGCCTCCAACGGCGACAGGGGCACACTGAAAAGATCGATAGCACCGGTAGGGGCATATCGGAATTTTTCCCAACTGCTATCCGGTAGGGGCATGATGCGAATGCGATGTGGGTCTGGTAGGAGCACTACGAAAACATATGAGCCCCAAAGGACACCAGGGTTCAAGTTTTATAACAGGGTAAATCTGCTGTCGGAGGGGCATGATGCAAATTAATGGAAAATACAGGGGCGCCAGGGAAGTTTTCCCATTTTTTTCCCCATGTTTGCTGAAATCGTACCCCGCCCGGTCACACATGGGTTGCCAATCAGAAAGGACACGAGCGGGACTCTCTGGCAATTGTAAAATTGGTGCCTCTCATGGTCACAAAGCGCGGAAATTTTCTTTCAGAAAGGACACGAGCGGGACTCTCTGGCAATTGCAAAATTGGTGCCTCTCATCCTGCTGGACGGTGTGGTATGCTTTACCTATGACTAGCTCAAACGTTCTTTTTCGAGTTCACATGCTGGCGATCAGCTACTACACTTGCTGACGGCTGCACTGGTGACTACGTTCGTGGTTGCTGTGATGCAGTGCGTCTTGGTTGCCGAAAAACTGTTCATCTCAGTGAAACTCGGTGGTGGCTGGCTGCTTCAGCATCTTGTTGATGATGTTTAGTGCTTTGTCGACATGGGAGGCTTAAATGCTAATGACGTGGGTTGTTCTGTTTAGGCCTTTGGGGTAGAGCTGACTAGGAGTAGTGCTGATTTGGATGGTGATTTGCAGGACCTGGATAAAAGACTTGTGAAGCATCTTTATTCCGGGAAAAGAAAAAAATAAAAAAAAGAAAAAGCGCAGAATTTTTCCTTTGCCGATTCGCAAAAGGAGAAAGAGAATTTGCCACGGCCAAAAGAGAATTTGCCACCAGCTCTCGATGTGGTAGCAAAATGCCCATCCCCTCTGCCCTCCAGGCCGCTGACAAATTCTACCCTGTTTGCAATTTTGGTGGTCGGAAAACCCTAGTGTGCCTCTGACAGCACAGCAGATTTTGCCATTTAGCAAAAAAAACCACTAGTGTGAGTATGCCCTTAGGGTTCCAAAAATCCTACGACCGCTGTCTTTTTTTATGTGTTATTTTGCCGGGGGAAAATCCGTGAATGCTGTGGCAGCGACTTCGAGGCCACAGTCAGCGGCCACGGCCGCAGGTGAGTCATAGGTGCCCGCCCTCGCCACACAGGCTGTCTAATGTCGAAAATTTTCGACAGGTGTCAGAAATGTTTTGACAGGCGGTCGACAATTCCCCCCCCCTTTGCCACACAGGCTGTGGAGGGGCAAGGTTTTTGGTCATGGCCAGGTGGGCGGGTTTCACGGAAGTTGACGGAACAGTCCCTGACAATGCAAATTCGAAAGCAATTTTCGAAAGGAGGGCCCTGCACTGTTGAATTTCCGTGACCTACAGGCGGGAGGAAAAGGTTGCTGGAGGGCGGCTGTCGAAAGTACCATTCTGACACCTGTCGAAAGTTTTTGGAGCCGCAATGTGGCGCTGTAAAATTGTAGAAAACCGGGTTTTCGACAGCCTGTGTGGCGAGTCTCTAAGTAAGGGGGCGCGGCCCCCTGAATTTTCAAAGAGGCCGCAGTCCGTCCATTTTTGCAAATCTCGGTGGGCGCCAGACAGCCCTGAATTTTCAATGAGGCCGCAGTCCGTCCATTTTTGCAAATCTTGGTGGGCGCCAGACAGTTGCCGCGTGCCAGTTGGTTTTATCCGCCTTGGTCGTGAGAATCTGAAATATTCGTAAGCCTTCCAGGCTCTTCCAGCAAGTGGCGAAACCAGGAACACCGCAGGTTTGTGCGTGGGTGGTCGGACATGTCTAACCAATTCGGTCCTAGGCAACTGTCTGAACGGTCCTGGCCGCATGCACTCTGGCTGAGAGTGACGCTACTGGACGGTCGGTCCTCCCAGGCCAGTGAAGGGCAGCGTTTGAGGCAATCGGGCACTTGTAGGTGCGAGCGACAGCGCTGCTGGAGAAAGAGCTCACGGCTGCATGCTTAGCGCTAGCGCAAGTGCCCGGCGCGCGCGGGCGTCGCGATAAAAGGGAGCTGCACCATGGCACTTGCGCGGGTGTTGGGAAGAAGGGCGCTGCACCAAGGCAGTGCCATAGCTGAGCGGCCCCCCCATAGCCGGGCGCAAGCTTGGATAGTCAGCGGGAGGTGGTGGTGGTCTTCGTGTATGGGCAAGACGTGGGTGAAGAAGAAGACCAGGGTGAGCAGTGAGAGAGAGATGAGGATGATGATGTGAGGGCACGTACCTGGTCTTGGGGGAGGTTTGGATGATCGACATGTGCATGCACTTCGGTGATTGCTGCTGACGTCAACTTGTTGCATCGTCAATTCGTAGGCTTGATAGGTAGCTGTGTGATCGTAGTTCGGGTGCTGAGCGCCAACTAGGAGGAAGGGCTCTGGATACATAAGTTGGTGGTGGCGAGAGTTCACTCTCATTGACATTTGAGTTCACTCAGTTCGGTGCTTTGATTCTCCGTTGGTGGAAAATCAATGCATTTCTGCTTTCTGGACTGCGTTCGACTTTCTGGCTTTCAATGTGATTTGCAATCTGGAATTCTGTCATTTCGCTATTGCTCATTTTCCTTGCATTTATATCTATATATATCTATGTATATCTTTATATCTGTATATATATATATAGTATATGAGTCGGTGAAACTCTGACGAAACAGTTTGTCACAGCCCCTCGTTTGTTGTCTGTGTGTGTGTGTGTGTGTGCGAAAAGACGTAGAAAATCATAAAATACAAGAAGAATAAGCGTACGCCTGGAGAAAAGAAGAACATGATCAAGCGTAAGAAGACAGAAAGAAACTTAACAGCGTATCACATTCTCACATATTTTCCAGCATGTCACCGTTCTCTCTCTCTCTCTCTCTCTCTCTCTCTCTCTCTCTCTCACTCTCTCTC